TTTTTTTTTTTTTTTTTTTTTTTTTTGAAAAAAAACACTTTTCTATTACTCCTCTTATTTATGTCATTTTCTCTCCTTCTTTTTATAAGAATTCACATGCTCTTATAGAGCTAAAATAATAAAAAACTAATTATAGCCATAAAAAATTCATCATGTGACAACTAAAAAACTAATTATAGTCATAAAAACCTCGTTATGGCATATTACAACTCTGGGCCTTTCATCTACTCACTTTTCCACTGACTTCTAAATTTAAAACCCACTCAATAAAAATAACATTCAATGTTTATTCAACAAAACTCCCCCACAAAAGTTAAATGTTTCTGCCATCCGTCATGCCAATCTTCTTGTATTTGTCGAAAAATACTTTTGGTAGCGGTTTTGTAAAAATATCCGCAACTTGATCCTGACTTACCATATGCAGCAATTCCACACTTCCTTCCTTCACATGATCTCGGATAAAGTGAAAACGAACATCAATGTGTTTGCTTCTTTCATGGTTCACTGGGTTATTTGCCAACTCAATTGTTGATTTGTTGTCAACTTGAATCACTATTGCACCTAGTTTCTTTAGTTTCATCTCGCTCAACAAAGTTCTAAGTCATATCATGTGACATACACACCAAGATGCGGCTACATATTCAACTTCACACGTCAAGAGCGTCACGTCTTTGAAAACCAAGTAAATGTGTGTTGCCCATAAAGAAAACCTAACCCGATGCACTTTTCCGTTGTCTATGTCTCCACACAAATCGTTGTCAAAGTAACCAACCAACTTGTAATCTTCTACTTTCAAGTAGAACAACTCAAGTGACACTGTTCCTTCGATGTACCGTAGGACTCGCTTCAACACCCTCCAATGTGAATAAATCGGCTCTTCCATGAACCAACTTATAATGTAGACACTTAATGAAAGATCTGACCTTGTGCATGTAAGATAGCAAAGGCTTCCTACCAAACTCTGGTACCTATTTGCATCTACTCGTTCTCCTTCATCGTATTTCGAGAGTTTTGCACCTGGTTCCATTAGTATTGATATCGAGTTGCAATTTGTCATCTTGTACTTCTTCAAAATCTCTTTTGCATATGTCTCCTGTGATATAAAAATACCCGTCTCTCCTTGTTTAACCTCCAAACCAAGGAAAAACTTCAACAAGCCCAAATCTGTCATCTCAAATTCTCGTGTCATTGTGCCCTTAAACTCTTCTATCATCTCATCATCATTGTTACCCAAAAAAATGAGGTCATCGACATAAAGAGCAACAAATATCACATTGCCTCCACTCTTCTTTATGTAAAGTGCATGCTCGTAGGGACATGCTTGTACCCGTTCTCCTTGAGATATATACCGATACGAGTATTTCATGCTCGCGGTGCTTGCTTCAACCCGTAAAGTGCATTCTTCAATTTTAGTACCTTCTTCTCTTCTCCAATTTTCATGTACCCGAGTGGTTGTTCGATCTAGACTTCTTCTTCAAGCACACCATTCAAGCATGTCGACTTGACATCCATTTGAAAAATCGGCCATTTGAATTGAGCTGCTTGGAAAATGAGCAATTGGATTGTCTCCCTTCTTGCAACGGGAGAAAACACTTCGTCATAGTCGATTCGCGCCTTTTGCTTGTATCCCTTCGCAACAAGTCGCACCTTGTACCGCTCTATTTTGCCTTGAGCATTCATCTTTTTCTTGACACCAATGGACTGACTTCCTTCCAATAATTCTGTTAACTCCAATGTATTATTGCGATCAATCACTTTAATCTCCACATCCATGGCAGTTTGCCACTTCTGGTCTCGCACCGCCTCTTCAAAGATGATATTTTCAGCATCTGCAAGAAGACATACAAGGTGTATCTCATTTGTTGAATCATACAAATCTTGCAAATTTCGCATTTTGGGTTGTTGTGGTTCATCTTCATCATAAAAAATTCCTGAGTTTGTTGGTATACTTGTTGGTGCAACGACTGATGATTCTCCAACTTCGATATTAACTTCTATCGGATTGTTCCAGTCTCATTCGCTTACTTCATTTACTCGCACATCACGACTCACCATCACCTTCTTGTTTATTGGGTCAAGTAGTTTGTATCCTTTTGTCTTCTTATCATACCCAATAAAAATAGACTTTTTGCTTTTGTTTACGAGCTCCGTTCTTCGTTGATCCGGTACGTGAGTATAAGTACTACTACCGAACACTTTGAGATGAGAAATTGTAGGCTTTTTGTCCGCTCCATGCCTCTTGTGGTGTTTGATCATCTAACTTCGCATTTGGACATCGATTTTGCACATAGATGGTGCATTGCAGGGCTTCTGCCCAAAATTCCTTTGGCATCCTTTTGCTCTTGAGCAGTGACCGAACCATATCGAGAATGATCCGATTTTTTCTCTCGACCACACCATTTTGTTGCAGAGTGTACGGTGTGGTTAGAATTTTCCTTATGTCTTGCTCCTTGCAATACTCCATGAAAGTAGTCGAAGTATACTCGCCACCTCTATCGGATTGTACAGCTTTGATGTGTCTACCAGTTGCCTTCTTCACCATCACTTTGAACTTTTTTAACACCTCGAATGTCTCGAATTTTTCTTTCAGAAAATAAACCCAAGTTTTTCGTAAGTAATCATCGATAAAGGAATGAAATACCTTTTACCGTTGAAAGACTCAGGGGTAATTGGACCACATATGTCTGTATGAATCAACTCGAGAGGTTGTTTAGCCCACAATTCAGCATTCTTTTGAAATGAGGTTCTCACATGCTTGCTGAGCACACATTCTTCACAAAATTTTCTATCGTAGTCCATGTTGGGTAGCCCGTGCACCATATTCTTCTTCGCTAACTCTTTTAGGCCGCCATGATATAGGTGACCAAAGCGGAGATGCCAGGGCGATGCCTTGTTTCGACTAGCAAACATTTTTCTCGTATGCTTCTTAAATTCAGTTTGTACATCCGATTTCTTTCTCTCAACTCGAGCAACCAAACGCCTTTGCTTGTCCTTCAAGTGTAGCAGCCGGCCTTTTAAGAATATCGAGTAACCTTTCTCTGTGAGTTGCCCCATACTCAATATGTTGGTCTTGAGGTCTAGTATGTAATAAACATCTTGGATTGACCCTATTAAGCTATCCTTTTGCAAGTAATGAACTGTACCTCGGCCTTTGACCTCCACCTTTGAAGCATCTCCAAATGACACGTGAGCATCTTCAATCTTTTGCATCTCTTTGTATAGGTACTCGTGACCACACATATGGTTGCTTGCCCTGAGTCGAGGTACCACAGAGTGTCGTTGTTGATGTTGTCTTCATTTTAAGACATCAAGAGAAGACTTTCATTTGTTACGTCTTCCAATGCTAGGTTGATTGTTTCTTCCACCTTTTTATCGGCTCGACAATCTTTTGCAAAATGCCCCATTTTACCACAATTATAACATTTTTCGGAGTTACATTCATTCACATAGTGACCAAAATTGTGACATTTGTAGCACTTAATGTTGGAATAATTTGATCGGTCGCCTCTTCCTTGACCACGTCCTCTTCCAAGCCAATTTTCTTGGCTCGACTGTCCCTTCTCCTTATAGTATCCTTCATGACTGCTGCCTTGACCACCGTGACCATTTCCACAACTTCCACGACCACGACCTCTACCTTAAAAATTTTGAGAATAGAGTACCTTTTCATCTTCGAATGACGCCTTGATTTGAAGTACTTGATCGAGTGTTTCCTCCTTCTTCTTCTTATGTTGCTTGTATAGCTCGAGAGAACCGGCGAGCTCGTCAAACGTGAACGTCGCTAGGTCCTTTTACTCTTTTATCGCGCATACAACGTTCTCAAAATTCTTGGTTAATGATCTCAAAACCTTCTCCACAACTCGCGTCTCGATTAACATTTCTCTGTTTTGGTTGAGTTGGTTTACCAAAGTCTATACACGCGTGATGTAGTCAGATACACTTTCCGACTCCTTTATCTTTATGCTCTCCAACTCACCACGAAGAGTTTGGAGATGCACTTACTTGACTCGGTCGACTCCTTTGAACACTTTTCCTAAAATGTCCCATGCTTCTTTTGAAGTAGTTGCACTGACAATCTTCTTAAAGCTCGACTCGTCAACGGCTCAGAACACAACATGTATAGTGTCGCCTGTTAGATAAAACCTGATTTTTCCTTATTTAGATTCACACGATTACCTCCATTCTCCGTTTTACCATTTGACAAACACGTCGAATGGATTAACTAAGTTTTAGACGGCAATTTAGGAGGAAGTGGCACAGATTCAGTTGGCCACTCTCCAGCCATTTTTAGGATAGGTTATATTTAAATAGGAAATCGGTTAGAATATTTTCACAACTTGAATTAAAGGGCAGTCAAAATTTCATCCTTCTCTCTCGTCTTATTTTACGCATTTTATTTTCCTTCTAACAACCTGTTGTCGACAATTTCCTCTCACCGAAAATAAAGGATTTCTCGGCCGATTATTTGAAATCCAACAAGTGGTATCAGAGCCCGGTTGAAGCCATCGGTGTATATCATTGCGGAGGAGCCAACCTATCAACAATCAAGTTGAATAGCTCAAGTGGCTAGAGCGTCGACCTGACAACACATAGGTCTCAGGTTTGAGTAGAAGAAAATGAAAAGTGCAAAAATAAACACATCGTGGGGTCCATCTCGAGCAGGCTCGCTCACTCCTCCACGTCGCCAAGTGCCGGCATCTCCATCACCACCACGAAGAGGCCGTGGCCGACGCCAACTATAACGAGTGGACCTTGTTGATGTGCGTCAACCTACCTACAGGCGCAAGGGTTATGGCATGCTGTCGAGCCAGAGGAAGGAGAAAGAGAAACGATTGAGTACCGGGGAGGATCGACTGGCGTTCGCCGCCATATTTTACGATCTGTGCTCCCAGAGATGCTGGCATCTCTCTCCACCAAGTGCACCGCGCAATTAGCCTGGGAGGGAATCAAATCCCGTCAGGTCGGTGGTGTACAGTGAGTGCGGGAATCCAACCTTGAGCAGCTGCGGAAGGAGCTCTCGGAGATCCGCTTTAAGGATGGCGAATCCGTCGATGATTTTTCAATGCGGATCACGGGGCTCGCCAACAGCATCACCACACTTGGTGGCAGCATCAGCGAGACAGAAATCGTGAAGAAGATGCTGCAGGTCGTCCCCGATCATCTCAGGCAAGTCATCATTTCAATCGAGACATTGCTTGACGTGAACGACCTAACGGTGGAAGAGGTGACCGGAAGACTGCGTAACGTCGAGCAGCGGAAGAAAAATACCATTTGAGGGTCGTCTACTCCTCACTGAGGAGGAATGGCTTGCACGCCTAATAAAGCTCCGTGACGACACCAGCGAGAGAATGGGCCCTCCAGCCGCAAAGACGGTAAGAAGCCGTGGAAATCTCGCCGGCGAATCCGTCGATGATTTTTCAATGCGGATCACGGGGCTCGCCAACAGCATCACCACACTTAGTGGCAGCATCAGCGAGACAGAAATCGTGAAGAAGATGCTGCAAGTCGTCCCCGATCACCTCGAGCAAGTTGTGATTTCAATCGAGACATTGCTTGACGTGAACGACCTAACGGTAGAAGAGGTGACCGGAAGACTGCGTAATGTCGAGCAGCGGAAGAAAAATACCATTTCAGCTATCGACAAGGAGGGTCGTCTACTCCTCACTGAGGAGGAATGGCTTGCACGCCTAAAGCTCCGTGACGACACCGGCGAGAGCAATGGGCCCTCCAGCCGCAAAGGCGGTAAGAAGCCGTGGAAATCTCG